ATCTTTGCCTGTCTTTTCCTTCTTCATAGGCTTCTAATCATCAGCCCATTCTAAAAGTAACAATTGGTATTTTTCCATTTTAAGTTTCATTATGTGTCTGTAAGGGCATTTCCCCAATTGGTCAAGCTCTTTTTGAAGCGACTTCTGTTTTTGAGAATATTTAGCAGCCCCTATGTAATTCAGCATCATCTGCAAACTTCATGGATTGCTTCCTCAAACATACGTCTCAGACAAAGTTGTATACTTAAAGACAATTGCCATCTTGGTAGTTTGATTACAACTTCATTGTTTTCTGATTGCTGAGGCTTTCTGGTGGCACGGCTATTTATTTCATTCCTGGTTTGCAACATCAAGCAGTGTTTCTGCTAAGCAGAATCACCAGAATGGCAGTGCCACTTATAAGATAATGCACCCAAGCTTGCTGAGAACAACTGAGGACCCCAGAAAGCTTGCAGACAAATACTATGTCACATCTCACTCTGGGTAGCTCCTGTGTCAAATCTCTTAGCAGTTAATTTGCCTTCTTTTCAAACACTCTTGTTACAGCCATCACTATTGCTCCTTCTTGTCTATGACCCTCACCCACACCTTGCACAGTTCAGTTGCCTCAGTTACTTTTATACTGAAATCACTATGCATTAGAATGTCATCTTGTTCAGTACTGTTCCAGTAAGAAAAAAACTGAGACAGGCAGATCCGTTTTCCATAAGCAAAAACATTCTTATAATTGGGGCTTATTCCAACAATGAAACAGACTGTCTCTTGAAATAGGTAGCTCCTGATTTCCAGAGGTATTCAAGCAGAGGTTCGGAGAGCTCCTATTTCCCCTCTAAATTATGCCATCTGTCATCATTAAAACCAATTAATTACATTTTTAATGAAGATATCTATTTTTTTCTGAATATATATGAATACTGTAAGAGAAAATTAAAACCGCCAATATTATCAAAAACCCCAGGGATCACCAGTGTTAATAGTTTCATGTATGTTCTTTCAGACATTTAATTTGACTATATAAACATGTTCAATTTTTTTTTATTTTTATTTTACTTTAAGTTCTGGGATACATGTGCAGAACATGTAAGTTTGTTACATAGGTATACACAAATGAGATCATATATATATATGACTTTTTGTAAGTTGTTTGAAGATTGGATATCTTTCCATGTAAATACTAAGTATTTTATATTGCAACTTTGTGTTAATTCCATTAATTTACAGAGTATATGCCAAAATCATGGTGAATCAGAAAAAGTGAGTTACAATGAAAATATACTATGCATACTGTTTTTCAAAATTTTATTATGAAACTTTTCCAACATTCAGAAAAATTGAAAGATGCACACAATAATCCTTATATTCATGCTACCCTGATTCTGTAGCTGTTAACATTCTCTTTGCTTTATCACATATCAGTCCACCTTAATTTTTGATACCTTTCAAACTAAATTGCTGACATTAGCACAATTTACCCCTAAATACCCCTAAATCTTTTTTCAACAAAAATGACTTCCAGCAGCAGCTTATCTTTTTTATTTTTTTCCCCATTTATTTATTTTATTGCATTTTAGGTTTGGGGGTACATGTGAAGAACATGCAAGATTCTTGCATAGGTACACACGTGGTAGTGTGAATACCATCTCACGCCAGTTAGAATAGCGGTCATTAAAAAATCTGGAGACAACAGATGCTGGAGAGGATGTGAAGAAATAAGAACACGTTTACACTGTTGGTGGGAGTGTAAATTAGTTCAACCATTGTGGAAGACAGTGTGGCGATTCCTCAAGGACCTAGAAATAGAAATTCCATTTGACCCAGCAATCCCATTACTGGGTATATATCCAAAGGATTATAAATCGTTCTACTATAAGGACACATGCACACGAATGTTCATTGCAGCACTGTTTACAATAGCAAAGACCTGGAACCAACCCAAATCCCCATCGATGATAAACTGGACAGGGAAAATGTGGCACATATACACCATGGAATATTATGCAGCCATCAAAAACGATGAGTTCATGTCCCTTGTAGGGACATGGATGAACTTGGACACCATCATTCTCAGCAGCTTATCTTTAACTAGAGCCCAGTGTTTGTTAATGATGCTTTAATTAGATAATATTACATACATTAAAACACATGTATTTAATTATTTAAGCATTTATTGAGCTTTTAATAAATGCATACACTTACGCAACTCAGGCCCCTATCAAGATAGACACCACACCCAAAAATTAGTGCTTCATGGCATTTTGTTTATATTTTTTGTTTTTCATTTTGCTATGAGAAAGTAGACACAATGCTATCCTATAGTGTGCCTTTGTTAAGTTAAAAACATATTATGACAATTTGTTGCAAATAAATATTTTTATCTTTTTTTATAAATGTAAAACCTCTTTATGCTGAAAATTCAAATGGTATTTTTTCTCTCAAGTGGTGACATCATATAAACAATATTGATCTACAGCTGGATTTTGTGGTTTCGTTTTACAATGTCTTGAGCATCTTTTCATACCATTAGTACATACTGAGCTACTAGTCCTTTCAACAGATACAAAATTGTATCAGTCCATTTTCACATTGCTATAAAGACACTACCTGAGACTGGGTAATTCATAAACAAAAGACGTTTAATTAACTCACAGATCCACATGGCTGGAGAGGTCTCAGGAAACTTACAATCATGGCAGAAGTAAAGGGGAAGCAGACATCTTCTTCACAAGGCAGCCAGAGAGGGAGAACTCATTCACCATCATGAGAATGAGATCATCATCAAATCTCATGAGATCATCATCAGATCTCATGAGAACTCATTCACTATCAGGAAAAGCATGGGGGAATGACCCCCATGATCCAGTCACCTCCCACCAGGTCCCCCCTTCAACATGTGGGAATTAAAATTTGAGATGAGATTTGGCTGTGGACACAGAGCCAAACCATACCATTCTGCCCCTGGTCTTTCCCAAATTTCATGCCCTTTTCACATTTAAAAACCAATTATGCCTTCCCCAAAATCCCCTAAAGTCTTAACTCATTCCAGAATTAACCAAAAAATCCAAGTCCAAAGTCTCATCTAAGACAATGTAAGACCTTTCCACCATGAGCCAGTAAAATCAAAAGCAAGTTAGTTACTTTCAAGAACAAATGAGGTTACAGGTATTGGACAAATGTACCCATTCCAAGTGGGAAAAATTAATCAAACTAAGGGGCCACAGGCTATATGCAAGTCTAAAACCTGGTCAGGCAATTATTAAATCTTAAAGCTCCAAAATCTCCTTTGACTCCATGTCTCACATCCAGGGCATGCTGATGTAAGGGGTGGGCACCCACAACCTTGGGCAGCTCTGCCCCTGTAGTTCCACAGGATACAGCCCCCAGCTCCTTTCATGTTCTGGTGTTGAGGGCCTGTGGCTTCTCCAGGTGCAAGGTGCAAGTTGTTGGTGTATATACCATTCTGGGATCTGGAGGACAGAGGCCCTCTTCTCACGACTCCACTAGGCAGTGCCCCAGTGGTGACTCTGTGTAGAGGCTCCTACCCCACATTTCCCTTCTGCATTGCCCTAGTAGAGATTCTCCATGAGGGCTCTGCCCCTGCAACAGCCTATTGCCTGGATGTTCAGGTGTTTCCCTACATCCTCTGAAATCTAGGTGGAGGCTCCCTAACTCTTATCTTCTGTGAACCTCAGGCCCATCACCACATGGAAGCTGCCAAGGCTTGGGGCTTGCACTCTCTGAAGCAATGGTTTAAGCTGTACCTTGACCCCTTTTAGCCATAGCTGGAGCTAGACCAGCTAGCATGCAGGGCGCCATGTCCCGAGGCTGCACAGAGCAGCAGGGCCCTGGGCCCAGACCCTGGAACCACTTTTCCCTCCTAGGTCTCTGGGCCTCTGATGGGAGGGGCTGCCATGAAGACCTCTGACGTGACCTGAAGATACTTTCCCCATTGTCTTGGGAAAAAATAACATTCAGTTCCACGTTACTTATGCAAAGTTGTGCAGCCAGCTTGAATTTCTCCAAAGAAAATGGGTTTTTCTTTTCTACCTCATGGTCAGGCTGCAATTTTTCCAAACCTTTATGCTCTGCTTCACTTTTAAACATAAGTTCCAATTTCAAACCATCTCTTTATGAATGCATATAATTGTATGCTTTCAGGAAGACAGGTCACATCTTAAATGTTTTGTGGCTTAGAAATTCTTCTGTCAGATACCCTAAATCATCTCTCTAAAGTTCAAAGTTCAACAAATTTCTAGGACAGGGCAAAATGCTGCCAGTCTCTTTGCTAAAACACAGCAAGAGTCACATTTTCTCCAGTTCCCAACAAGTTCCTCATCTCCATCTAAGACCACTTCAGCCTGGACTTTATTGTCACAACATTTTGGTCAAAACTATTCAACGAGTCTAGGAATTCCCAAACTTTCCCACATGTTCCTATCTTATTCTGAGCCCTCCAAACTGTTTCAACCTCTGCCCATTACCAAGTTCCAAAGCAGCTTTGACATTTTCAGGTTATCTTTATAGCAGTACCCCAAACTCCTAGTACCAATTCTCTGTATCATTCTGTTTTCGCACTGTTATAAAGATACTACCTGAGACTGTGTAATTCACAAACAAAAGAGGTTTAATTAACTCACAATTCTGCATAGCTGGGGAGGCCTCAGGAAACTTATAGTCATGGTAGAAGGTGAAGGGGAAACAGACACTTTCTTCACAAGGCAGCAGGAGAGAGAGAGCATGCAGGGAAAACTGCCACTTTTAAAACCATCAACTGTCATGACAACTCCGTCACTATAATGAGAACAGCATGGGAAAACCATCCCCCACAATTCAATCACTTCCCATGAGGTCCCTTCCTTGACATGTGGGGACTACAAATTGAGATGAGATTTGGGTGGTGACACAGAGACAAACCATATCAAAAATATTCAATAATAGGTATGTAACTTTTTTTTACTTTTTACTTTTTGAAACTTTTAAGTTCAGGGATACATGTGTAGGACATGCAGCTTTGTTACATAGGTAAAAGTGTATCATGGGGTTTTGTTATAAAGATTATGTCATCACCCAGGTAGTAAGCCTAGTCTCCATTAACTATTTTCTCTGATCCTCTCCCTCCTCTCGCCTTCCGCTCTCTAATAAGTCCTAGTGTATGTTGTTCCCTTTTATGTGTCCATGCGTTCTCATCATTTAGTTCCCACTTTTAAGTGAGAACATGTAGTATTTGGTTTTCTGTCCCTGCATTAGTTTGCTAAGGATAATGACCTCCAGCTCCACCCCTGTCCCTGCAAAGGACATAATATTGTTGTTTTTTATGGTTGTATAGTATTCCATGATGTACATGTATCATATTTTCTTTATCCAGTCTATTATTTAGGTTGATTCCATGCCTTTGCTATTGTAAATAGTCCTGCAATGAATATATGCATGCATGTGTCTTTATAATAGAATGATTTATATTCTTTGGGTATGTACCCAGTAATGGGATTGCTGGGCCGAATGGTGTTTATGCCTCTAGGTCTTTGAGGAATCACCACATCACTTTTCACAATTGTTGAACTAATTTACAATACCATCAACAGTGTAAAAACATACCTTTTTCTCCACAACCTCACTAGCATCTGTTATTTTTTGAATTTCTAATAAAAGTAATTCTGACTGGTGTGAGATGGTATCTTTTCTTGATTTTGATTTGCATTTATCTGATGATCAGTGATGTTGAACTTCTTTTCATATGATTTTTGGGTACATATATGTCTTCTTTTGAGAAACGTCTATTCTTGCCCTTTATCCACTTTTAATGGGGTTATTTGCATTTTTCTTGTAAATTTGTTTAAGTTTCTTACAGATGCTGTATATTAGACCTTTGTCAGATGCATAGTTTGCAAAAATTTTCTCCCATTCTGTAAATTGTCTGTTTATTTTGTTGATAGTTTCTTTTGCTGTTCAGAAGCTCTTTAGTTTAATTAGATCTCTTTGTTAATTTTTGCTTTTGTTGCAATTGCTTTTGGTGTCTTTGTAATGAAATCTTTACCCATGCCTATATAACATAATTTATATAATCACCCCATTGATGAACATTTGAGCTTTTCAGTTTTCCAACATTGCAAACAAATTTACAATAAAAAAACTATAGATATTTAACTCCACACTTGTTTTCTTGTACTTTAGGACAAACACTCAGAAATGGAAAAGCAGGATTTTAGGCAAAGTTCACTCATATACACATTCTGCACACCCAAAAAGCAGTGTATGTGATTTCTATTATCCGAGTGTGTGTTTTATGGATTTCTAGAACTGGCAAGATAAAGCTTATATTATAAGGTTAGGGAATAAAAATAGAGATCCAAGGATGAAAAAAAAACCAACAACCTGGAGCTTTTAAGTTAGGAATCCAAGCATCACAAAGCCCAGGTACAAAAGGAGCTGAGACAATTTCAACAATATTAATAATAGCTAACACCTGAAAATTTATCATCAGTCCCATACAGGAACAAAATGAGGAATAAAGATGTGTAATTATCCAGGGAATTCATAAAGTACAAAAATCTAGAGCAGTACATCTCAAACTTGAATTCATATCAGGATTACCCACAGGGTGTGTTAGAACACCCATCATTGAGCCATACCACAAGAATCTGATTCAGTGCATCTTTAACAGGATCCAATAATCTCAGTTTTGAATGAATTACCAGGTGGTGCTGATGCTGCTGATAAAGGGACCACACTGAGAAGCCCTTTACCAGCAGCATCAGCACTGGTAAAGGGATGTAGACTAGAAACACAACTCTCATATATTTCAGCTGATATTGGCCAAAATACTCCTCCAACTTTTTCACTTAGCCCATGTGAACAAATCCCTGTAGATAAAGATCTAGTGAAAACTAATTTCTTCCCACTTTTGTTTGAATCTTCTTTCTTTTATGTATTTATGAAACCAAGCCAATTTTCCTTTAATCCCTGCTCCCTTAATATTCTATATCTCCCCATCTCCATTACAGGCCTGATTTAGAAATTTAAAATTTAATGAAAAACATCTTCAATAACTGAATTTTTCAAGTGACTATATCTGAAATTTAGTTACGGATCTTTGTCACATATGCCTGCAGAGAGCCAAGCTAGCAAAACACACAGATTTAATGTGCATAGTGGAAAGCTCAATGAACTACCTTTCTCTAGATACAATACATATTAATTGTTAATTTACAAGGCTACATGCTAATGTCAAAGTCATGCTGAATCAGAAAAAACAAATTACAAGCAAAAATGCTTTTGTATGCACACACACACTATTCCCCAGGGCTATTTAACTGCTATTTAACTTTTGAGACATAAAATGTACCAGCCCTAGCCATTTAGTCTTTTAATAACAAACCACATCCATATGCCACAAAATTTCTTGTAAACAATATATATATGTATACATGCAAGTTATATATATGTACATATATATAATGCAAGTTTACATGCCAAATTCTGCTGTTTCTTGTCACTACTAACATTTTAAATAAATTAAATGTCACTTACAAGTTTAAAACAGTAGCCAAAATTATGTCAGATTGGGCAACTCAAAAGACATATGTGTCCAACATTTACTGGACACCTACTATGTACTATTTGCTAGGTGCTAGGAGTACAAATAGTAAGGAGACAAGGGTTCCTGCCTTTGAGGAGTTCACAATCTAGTGAGTGAAACATATAAAAAATAACTACAAGCCTGTGAAATAAGAGCTATCATAGAAGCATGAAGAAAATGCTGTGGAATCACAAAGAAATGAACCATTGGTTTTTTGAGTAGGGATCTGAAAAGGTCTTCATAAAGATTGTGACATGTGAAATGGGTCTTAAAGGAATTGCCTCATCAAAAATATAAGAAAGACCATTTTAGGCAAAGGGACTTGTGTACATGCAGGTGTTTGGAGTTATCAAAGAGCTTAATGTGTTTAGGGAAGAGCAAGAAATTTGGTGGCTGTGTTCTAGGTGAAAGAGATAGAAGCAGTGGAAGATGAAGCAGGCATTGTGGGCATGGACTGGACTTTGAAATCCATGCTAAGGAGTTGGGGCAATACAGTGAGTGGTGAAACTTTGAAAGAGACAAATGGTATTTATCTGTTAGTTAAAATATTTTATTCCACCTGTGTAAGTGCATCATTCATTTATTCATTCATTCAACAAACATACAGTAGGAATTTATTATGTGAAAAGCACTATATCAAATCAGTTTGAGAGAGGAATCAAATACAGCCAAGCAAGATGCTCCCTAAACTTGTGTCCTATTTAATTACTCTTGTATAAAAACAGCTTGAACAAGGACAATGAGAGTGCTTTGGGCTGAATTATGTCCCCTTACCAAATTAATACATTGAAGTACAAATCCCTAGTGTTACTGTATTTGTGAATAGGGCTTGTATAAGGTAATTAAGATAAAATGAGGTCATAAGGATGGGTTCCTAATCTGAGATGATTGGTGACCTTATAAGAAAAATATCTACCTGTCCCAATATATGCCTGTGTATATAAGAAAGGTCATGTGGGCACACATCAAGAAAGCTGCCTGTAAGTCAGGAAGAGAGCACTCACCAGAGTCTGATCAAAGTGGAATCTTGACCTCAGATTTCTAGCCTCCAGAAAACATTTATGTTGTTTTAACCACCTAGTCTATGATATGTGGCTATGGCAGCCTGAGCAGCCTAAGACAGAAAGGAGGGTATTGCTGAGTTGATTTTGCCAAAGAATAAGACAGGACTTCTCTAGGCCAAATGACCACCAAGTGTAAGTATCTATTCTTCAGGACCCCTTAGCTTGAAGTTATCCAATGATAAAGGACTCAATACATAATGAAGCAGCCCATTCCATAATGAGTAACTTAGGTGGTAAGAAAAGTCTTATACTAAAATGTGTAAGATTTATTCAAGATATGTACATGTAAATGTATGTATAAGACTTTTACAAGACATAAACAAGATGTCTGCTTCTAAACGCCATTGGCCCTTATTTTGCTTTGTTAAGTCACCCAGCACAGATTGGCAGATTGGTAACTACTAGCTCTAAAAAGCAGCAAATGTTCCTTTAAAAAGCTGAGAACCTTTCCAATAACTTTACATTTATAAATTGACCTGAGGTTGAAGATTTTTGCTTCTCCTAGGAAACATCTTGGGAAAATATAAACTGACTGAGAATCCTACTGGCGAAATTACATTAAGTCACTTACCTGGTATCTGCCAATGTGGGACCCTACAATAGCTGCTGCTGCACCTGGGGTATGTCCTATCTGATTGTAACTTATAAATTGTGGCTCCCTATCTGCTGAAGTTCCTTCAGCTCTGCAGGAACTCTCAGTGTTGGTACAACATACGGTAGCATGAATACATTTTATTATTACAACAAAGTCCTTTCTTTGTAAATAAAATACTGGATGCTTATTTGGATTATAAAGTATCGACTAATAGAAATACTGTGAGTTATTTGTCAGAAAATCTGGGCTTTCCATTTATATTGATTTAGAAATCACCACATGACTTGGCATAAATATCCTAACACCTCTGCTCCTCAATTTCTTCATCTCTAATGTATGAATATTATTTGCTTTCAAATTATGAATATATGGTGAGAATAGAATGAAAAAGTCTTAAGAAATAATCTTCACGGAGGGGAGGATCCAAAATGGCAGAATAGGAACAGCTCTGGAGTGCAGTTTTCAGCAAGAACGATGCAGAGGGTGAGTGTCTACCACATTTCCAAACAAATTTTCACTGCCCACAGACCAGGAGATTCTGGCACAGAAAAGTGCCACAAGTTTTCAGCAAGGTGGTTTCAGCTGGTGCTGAGTTGGTGCACAGAAACTCATACAAATCTGGGCAGCCGTTTCAACTGGTGCCTGGAACACCTGGGAGACAGAGGTGCCCATTCAACTAAAAGGGAGGGGGCTGAGACAGGGAGCCAAGCAATCTGGCTCAGTGGTTACCAATCCCACAAAACAAGCAATCTGAAATGCTCTGGATTGAGAGTTTCCCAGCAAGTGCAGCTGGACCCAGGATGGTCCAGCTCAGTGGGGGGAAGGGCAACCACCATTACCGAGGCGGTCCACCACTACCGAGGAGTTCACACAGCAGCTTGGCAGAGCCTGTGGCACCTCAGCAACACCTCTGCTGGTAGACTGTGACTAGACTACTCTGTGTGGGGTAGGGCATCTATGAAAAAAGGCAGCAGCACAACAGGAACTAATAAATAAAGCTGATCTTCCTAGGACAGAGCACCTGGTAAAAGAGGGGGTTATGAGTTCAGCTGCAGCAGACTTAAAGGTACCTGCCCAGCATGTCTGCACAGAACAACAGAGCTTCCAGCACAGCACTTGAGCTCCTATAAGGGACAAACTGTCTCCTCAAGCAGCTCCCTGACTCCTGTATACAAAAAGAGACACCTTATAAAGCAGAGCTCAGGCCGACACCTGGCAGGTGCCCTTCTGAGATGAAGATAACAGAAGAAGAAACCAGCAGCAACCTTTCCTGTTCTGCAGCCCCTGTGGGTGATCCCCAGGAAAGCAGGGTCTGGAGCAGACCTCCAGCAAGTCCTGCAGCAGAGGGCCTGATAGTTAGAAGGAAAACTAAGAAACAGAAAGAGATAACTTCATCATCAACAAAAAGGACATCAACTGAGAACCCATCCCAAAGTCACCAACTACAAAGACCACAGATAGATAAAGCCACTAACATGGGAAGAAACCAGCGCAAAAAGGATGAAAACACCAAAAATAAGAATGCCTCTCCTCCTCCAAAGGATCACAACTCCTCATCAGCTAGGGATCAAAGAGGGATGGAGAACGAACCTGATGAATTGACAGAAACAGGCTTCAGAAAGTGGGTAATAACAAACTTCTCAGATCTAAAAGAACATGTGCTAACCCAATGCAAAGAAACTAAGAACCTAGAAAAATTGTTAGATGAGATACTAACTAGAATAAACAGCTTAGAGAAGAATATAAGCAACTTGATGGAGCAGAAAAACACAGCACAAGAACTTTGCAAAGTATATACAAGTTTCAATAGCCAAACTGACTCAAGCAGAAGAAAAGATATCAGAGATTGAAGATCAACTCAATGAAATAAAATGAGAAGGCAAGAATAGAGAAAAAAGTGAAAAGAAATGAACAAGGCCTCCAAGAAATATGGGACTATGTGAAAAGACTTAATCTACGTTTGATAGGTGTACCTGAATGAGATGGAGAGAATGAATCCAAGCTGGAAAACACTCTTCAGGATGTTATCCAGGAGAACTTCTCCAACCTAGCAAGGCAGGCCAACATTCAAGTCCAGGAAAAACAGAGAACATCACAAAGATACTCCTCAAGAAGAGCAACCCCAAGGCACATAATTATCAGATTCACCAGGGTTGAAATGAAGAAAAAAATGCTAAGGGCAGCAAGAGAGAAAGGCCGGGTTACCCACAAAGGGAAGCCCATAACACTCACAGTGGATCTCTTGGCAGAAACCCTACAAGCCAGAAGAGAGTGGGGGCCAATATTCAACTTCCTTAAAGGAAAGAACTTTCAACGTAGAATTTTATATGCAGCCAAACATAGCTTCATAAGTGAAGGAGAAAGACAGTCCTTTATGGACAAGTAATTGCTGAGAGATTTTGTCACCACCAGGCATGTCTTACAAAAGCTCCTGAAAGAAGCACTAAACAAGGAAAGGAACAACCAGTACCAGCCACTCCAAAAATAAACCAAATGGTAAAGACCATCGACACAATGAAAAAAATATGTAAACTAATGGGCAAAACATCCACCTAGCATCAAAATGGCAGGATCAAATTCACACATAACAATATTAACCTTAAATGTAAATGGGCTAAATGCCCCAATCAAAAGACACAGACTGGCAAATTGGATAAAAAGTCAAGACCCATCTGTGTGCTGTATTCAGGAAATCCATCTCACGTGCAAGGACACACATAGGCTAAAAATAAAGGGATGGAGGAAGATTTATGAAGCAAACGGAGAGGAAAAGAAAGCAGGAGTTGCAATCCTAGTGCCTGATAAAATGGACTTTAAACCAACAAAGATCAAAAGAGACAAAGAAGGGCATTACATAATGGTAAAAGGATCAAAGCATCAAGAAGAGCTAACAATCCTAAATATATACACAACCAATACAGGAGCATCCAGGTACATAAAGCAAGTTCTTAATGACCTACAAAGAGATTTAGACTCTCACACAATAATACTGGGAGTCTTTAACACTCCACTGTCAATATTAGACATCAATGAGACAGCAAATTAACAAGGATATCCAGGACTTGAACTCAGATCTGGACTGCATTGACCTAATAGACATCTACAGGTATCTCCACCCCAAATCCACAGAATATACATTCTTCTCAGCACTGCATTGTACCTACTCTAAAATTGACCACTTAATTGGACATAAATCACTCCTCAGCAAATGTAAAAGAGCAGAAATCATAACAAACAAACTCTGAGACCACGGTGCAATCAAATTAGAACTCAGAATTAAGAAACTAACTTAGAACCACACAACTTCATGGAAACTGAACAACTGGCTCCTGAATGTCAACTGGATAAACAATGAAATGAAGTCAGAAATAAAGATGTTCTTTGAAATCAATGAGAACAAAGATGCAATGTGCCAGAATCTCTGGGACAAATTTAAAGCAGTGTCTAGAGGGAAATTTATAGCAATAAATGCCCACCAGAGAAGCGAGGAAAGATCTAAAGTTGACACCCTATTGTCAAAACTGAAAGAGATAGAGGAGCAAGATTAAAAAAAACTCAAAAGCTAGCAGAAGGCAATAAATAGCTAAGATCGGAGCAGAACTGAAGGAGACAAAGACACAAAAAACCCTTCAAAAAAAATCAATAAATCCAGGAGCTGTTTTTTTTGAAAAGATCAACAAAATAGACCACTAGCCAGATTAATAAAAAAGAAAAGGGAGAAGAATCAAATAGACGCAATAAAAAACAATAAAGGGGATATCACCACTGATTCCACAGAAATGCAAACTACAATCAGAGATTACTACAAACAACTCTATGCACATAAACCAGTAAACCTGGAAGAAATTGATAAATTCCTGGATACTTGCACCCTCCCAAGCCTAAACCAGGAAGAAATCAAAACCCTGAATAGACCAATAACAAGGTCTGAAGTTGAGGCAGCAATTAAGAGCCTACCACCCAAAAAAAACCCAGGTCCAGACAGGTTCACAACTGAATTCTACCAGACATACAAAGAGGAGCTGGTACCATTACTTCTGAAACTATTCCAAATAATCCAAAAAAGAGGGAATCCTTTCCAAATCATTTTATGAGACAAACATCATCCTGACACCAAAACCTGGCAGAGACTCAACAAAAAAAGAAAATTTCAGGCCAATATCCATGATGAACATAGATGCAAAAATATTCAATAAAACACTGGCAAACCAATTGCAACAGCATATCAAAAAGATTAATTATCATGATCAAGTAGGCTTCATTCAACGGATGTAAGGCTGGTTCAACATATACAAGTCTATAAATGTAATTCACCACATAAACAGAATCAAAGACAAAAACCACATGATTATCTCAATAGACACAGAGAAGGCCCTCGACAAAATTCAACAGCCCTTTGTGCTAAACTCTCAATAAACTAGGCATTGAAGGAACATATCTCAAAACAATAAAAGCTATTTATGACAAACCTGCAGTCAATATCATACTGAATGGGCAAAAACTGAAAGCATTCCCTTTGAAATCCACCACTAGACAAGGATGCCCTCTCTCACCACTCTCATTCAATACAGTGTTGGAAGTTCTAGCCAGAGCAATTAGGCAAGAAAAAATAAATAAATAAAAGTATTCAATTAGGAAAAGAGGAAGTCAAATTGTCTCTATTTGCAGACGACATGATTGTATATTTAGAAGGCCCTATCATCTCAGCCCAAAATATCCTTAAACTGATAAGCAACTTCAGCAAAGTCTCAGGATACAAAATCAATGTGCAGAAATCACAAGCATTTCTATACACCAATAACAGGCTAACAGAGAGCCGAATCATGAGCAAACTCCCATTCACAATTGCTACAAGGAGAATAAAATGCCCAGGAATAAAACTAACAAAGGATGTAAAGGACCTCTTCAAGGAAAACTATAAACCACTGCTCAAGGAAATAAGAGAGCACACAAACAGATGGAGAAACATTCCATGCTCATTGTTAGGAAGAACCAATATCGTGATAATGGCCATACTGCACAAAGTAATTTATAGATTCAATGCTATCCCCATCAAGCTACCAGTGACCTTCTTCACAGAGCTGGAAAAAACCACCTTAAACTTCATATGGAACCAAAAGAGAGCCCAAATAACAAAGACAATCATAAGCAAAGAGAAAAAAGCTGGAGGCATCATGCTACCTGATTTCAAACTATACTACAAGGCTACAGTAATCAAAACAGCATGGTACTGGTACCAAAACAGAGATATAGACAAATGGAACAAAAGAGAGACCCTGGATGCAACGCCACACATCTACAACCATCTGGTCTTTGACAAACCTGACAAAAACAAGCAATGGGGAAAAGATTCCCTGTTTAATAAATGGTGTTGTGAAAACTGGCTAGCAGTGTGCAGAAAACAGAAACTAGACCCCTTGCTGATACCTTACACTAAAATTAACTCCAGATGGATTAAAGACTTAAACATAAGACCTAATACCATAGAAGCCCTAGAAGAAATCCTAGGCAAAACCATTCAGGACATAGGC